GGGAAAACATCCGGAAACTCACGCACCACTGGGACCTCCTCCACTGACCTCGGTCTCTCGGAAGCCTCCCGCGTATCCATCACATACGCCACAAAACCCTTACATCCCTGCTGTAGACATTGCCTCGCCCTAGCGGCCGAACAAAAAGCTGATCCCGAACGGGTACCCTCGCCGTACACCGTAAGAACTCCCCCACTAGGGTCTCGTATAGTCACCAGCTGACGCTCACAATCGATGACAGCGCTGAATCGGCTCAACCAGTCCATGCCCACGATGACACAGACATCACCCATCGCAATAGGAATCAGGTCAATTGGAAACTCAACCCCGAAAATCTCTAGCACGCATCCCCGAAGAACCTCCGTGGCACAAATCACTCTCTCGGCCGCTATAGAAACTCTCAGAGGCCGACTTAACGACTCACGACTAATGCTGATATGCTGACTAAAAGCTAAAGATACAAAGGACCTACTCGCACCCGAGTCAAATAACACTAGAGCAGGCACAGAGTTCACAAGAAAAGTACCTACACATATAATAACATAAGCATACATTTCGACTTTAAATAAATACATGAATTACAGCATACCTGCCACAACATCGGGCGCAGCGCGGACCTCCTCCGCAGTCAGCTGAAAGGCTCTCCCGCGAGCCCTCGGGGCCTCGACCTTCGCCGGTCGAGTCTCAGTAGTCCTGGCAATAGGTGTAGATCCCTGACGAAGCTGAGGGCACTCGGCCTTCCGATGGCCTGTCTGGTTGCAATGAAAGCAAACCATAAACCCCTTAGGGCAATCCCTGGCGATGTGTCCCTCCTTGCCACACTTGTAGCAAACACCAGCTCGACACGCCCCATCATGACCCTTGCCGCACTTTCCGCAAGTGCGGCCCTTCGGACCTCCCGTCCTCGAATCGGCGGACTTGGTCCGCTTGGCTGCCGGCTGAGACTGAGCCGGCCGCCGGTCCACCTGCTGAGACTCGGCCTCCTCCCTGGCCTGGGTCTCCAACTCGATCTCGCGCTTCCTGGCATTCGCCTGAAGCTCAGCAAAAGTATGATAGGTGGAGTTCGACACAAACTCCCGGATATCCCTCCTCAAAACACCCAAGTACCGGCTCATCCGCGACTGCTCTGTAGACACCAGCTCGGGGCAGAACATCGCCCTCTCATGAAACTTCCGCGTGACCACCGCAACCGAATCAGTACCCTGCTTAAGGGTCAAGAACTCCTGAACCAATCGTTCCCTCTCCACTGGGGGAACGTACTCGTCCCTGAACATGGCAGTAAACCTCTCCCATGTCACTGCTGTAATCTCCGCCAAAGTGAAGTTCGCCGTCACGAACTTCCACCAATCCTTCGCTCCCAGACGGAGCTGGTTCAAAGCGAACCGTACCCTCAGGTGCTCCGGGCATGAACAAGTGTAGAAGCACCCCTCAATATCAGCGATCCACCTCATCGCAGCAATCGGATCCTGCGTCCCATCGAACTCAGGTGGTTTCGTGTTGCTGAATTCCCGAAATAGCAGCGAGTCACCCCCCTGTGGCCTGGCAGCGGCCACAGCTGCGGTAGCGGCAGCGGCTGCAGCTTCAGTCAGTGCGGCGTACCGCTCCTCAAACGTCTCCATCAGGGTGGTCTTAATAGACCCAAACATCTCCGGGATCTCAGCCCGGATCGCTGCAGCTACCTCCTCCTGAATCAGCTGACGAATCTCCTCGTCACTCACACCGCTCGAACTCGTCCCGTGGCGTGTTGTAACCATGATGTCTCTGAAATATAACATAAAATTATCAGAGACTCCATCAAGTACAATTGTACTCGATAACGCAACCCTACTCAGTCGCCGATATCCAGGGATTCTTACTTGGGTCTCCCACCGACCCGGTGTCTTCGGTAGTACGGGCCCAATACTACCGACCACACCGTATCAGCATTCGTCCCAAATCTTCCTCCCCAAACCCCGAATAGTGAGTACTCTACTTTTGATGTGCACTATCTACCTGCACGCTATCAAGTATCTCATATCGACAAACTCCCTAGACTAAGGCATCACAAATCAGGCCACTCTAGTCCTATCATGAATACCTAGTCTTCTAGCATGCATAACAATTCATAATTCATTTCATAACATAACATTGTAAGGTATTTTGGGGATCTTTACCGTTCGGGCGCTGACTGATCGTACACACTGCTTCTTTCTTGTTTACCACACTATCATTTTTAAAAGTTTATGCCTTTATTTGTTTTTTTTTAAAAAATTTTCCTCAAATCCTCGGTTTGAGTTCAGTTACACCCGAAGGTACACCCGAATCCCTCAAACCAAGGCTCTGATACCAATTGTAACAACGCAAATTTTTCAAACAAATTTTCATTTCAAACAATTAGATTATTTTTATTCAAACCCAATATAATTATTTCAAGTGTTAAGTCGAAATACAATTCATAAAATTCCCAAGATCTCAAAACATCAATCAGTGTGTACGCATCATGCCGGCGCCTTCCCACGGTCCTCGCTAGTACCTGAAACACATACATAACAACTGTAAGCATAAATGCTTAGTGAGTTCCCCAATATACAACTTACACATATACGCCTTTCCAGGCCCTGACCTTCCGGTCCACAATACAACGCCTTCCGGCCCATAACATAATCGCCTTCCGGCCCATAGCGTATTGCCTTCCGGCCCATAACATATTGCCTTCCGGCCCATAACACATTGCCTTCCGGCCCATATAAACATACACAGCACGCATAGCAATTAACTTACCACATATAACACATATATCACATATCATATCCGACCTTCCGGTCACACAGTCAAACCCTTCCGGGTACAGTATAGTGAGAAGACTCACCTCGTGGATACCGTAAGCTAGCAACTCCTGAAATCACTCGTACCCGATCCGCCGAGCTACAAACTCCCTATAATATCATATATCCCTTATTAACACTTTTATCTCTCAAGTTAACTGACCCTAAGAAATCACACATAGGTCAACTCTGGTCAATGGTCCACGGTCAACTCGACCGGACTCGGCGAGTGCCATGGCGACTCGGCGAGTCTAGACGTCCTCCAATCTTCTAAGATTCCCCTTCTACTCGTCGAGTATCCTCCTTGACCCGACGAGTTACTCCTGGCAGAATCGCGGGGCCACCCCGACTCCACTCGCCGAGTCTGAAGAACAGATCGACGAGTCCCAGTTATTCTGCAAGCTACTCGCCGAGTCTGTTCATCGGACTCGGCGAGTCCATGCCATGCAGTCGATCAAACTGCTTCCTAAGGTCAGAATTGTTCCGACCATTCATAGGTCTGGTCCTTCTAGACTGGTCCATCACGTAAGGTCTTCATTTAGGTGCTCATGCTACACCCCAAGACTTATAATTTACATTTTGACCTAAGGCATAAGGATTCCAATCCAAAACCTCTATTGATTCCCGAAATGCACAGGCATGGGACATTCTGGACCTCTAAAGGTCCCAATACGGGGTTCCAATCGTTTGGGGACTAAGGTAACATTCAATCTAGCCACAAAAAGGGTTCCATAAACCCTAAATCCATATACACATCAACATGGAAGAATGTAATTCGAATTATTACCTGAATAATGTGTTCTCTCTGTGTCCCCAATCCTCAGAACGTGACTTCTCTTGTTGTTCCCTTCACCAAGCCTTCTCTTCCTTGCACAACAACTCTTCCAAACTCAACAATGGTCTTCAACCTTGCTCCAGATGCACACAATCGAATTAGGGTTCTTCTCAGAAGGCTAAAACGAACAATGACGGCCTATAAGTCCTTTTTATACGTCCCCAAAACTGAACGGCTAGGGTTTCCGCTGAACAGCGCAGACTCGCCGAGTCCATATCTGGACTCGTCGAGTCCAGTCGCGAACCCGCGACCAGGTCTGCGGTCCTACTCGGCGAGTCTGGCTCCAACTCGCCGAGTCCCCTCTTAAAACACCCCAAAACACAATTTAAACAATACCTGAGATTCCGGGCTGTTACATGCAAGATATCAAAGATGGGAAGATTAAGGCCACCCATGCAGGTATTTATATTATTCTATCTAATAACTCATCACATTCTTATTCTTGGGTTCTTGATACAGGTTGTGGTTTCCATATTTGTTCTGATTTGTAGGGACTAAGAAGAAGTAAGGATGTAAAGCACGGAAAGATGAACTTGATCATAGGGAATAGGAAGGTTTCACCTATCACAAAGATTGTAGTTTATTCTTTATTGCTTAGTAGTGGGTTAGAATTAGATTTGAATAATTGTTGCTACTAGTCTGATATAACGAGAAATATTATTTCCTTTCATGGTTTGTACAAACAAGTTTTTAGCTTTTCATTTGATAATAAAATTGGTGCTATTAATGCTTTTTATAATGGTATTTTTTTTTTTTACATTAAAACATTATCTTGTAATGGTGTATATGAAACTGTAATGGTTGTAGACAACTTAGAAAAATAATGTGTTGCACATAGATTCTTTCAATGATTTGGATAAGGCATGCTTGTGGCATTGTCGTTTTAGACATATCAGCAAGAAGCGCAAAGGCCAACTCTACAAGGCTGGAGTCTTGAAATTTGACACGTGAGCAGATAACCGGGCTGAAGTTTGACACGTGAACAGATAACTGGGTTAATCAGTTAAATGGTGAACATTGCAAAAATTCAAAAAACTAAGTGTCTAAATTGAAATAAAAAAATAACGTATTGTCAAAATCGAATTTTTTATGAATACATAATAATTTTTGTGCAATTTATCTTTTCTAAAAACATAATAAACTTTTTATTTTTATTTTTATTGTATTTAACTTTTTAACATTTTGAAGTCGCGTTGAAGGAAGGCCAGTTAAAACCAATTTGATCATCAACAGATGAAACGAATAAGAACGCAACAAGCTTTTGGTTTCCAGATATATTATTCCGAAATCACGTATTGATCTTCAATTTTCGCATTTTACGTCTTCAAATTCAGTTTCAAATAGTTACTTCTCTCAATTTTGAAGACTTCAAAGGTAATACTCGAAGAAGAAGATGGAGAAACTGAGGAATATATTAATGCCGAAACCTAATCCGCAACAGTTATTACGCGATTGGCAACGTCGTCTCCGGCAAGAGTGTCGCAACATCGACCGTCAAATTCGTGGTAAATCAATTTCCTCCATCTCGTTTGTAGAAATCGCTTTCTTTCTTCTATAAAACCTAAAACTGTTTATTCGATTACTGCATCGATTTTGTTTTGATTTTTTTTTTTGGGGTTTTGTTTTAGATATACAACGAGAAGAGAAAAATGTTCAGAAAGCAATCCGAGAAGCTGCGAAAAGAAACGATATGGGCTCTGCTAGGGTATTAACTAAGCACTTGATTACTTCCAATTTTACGAATTAGGATCTGTAATCATGGAAAAAGTTAATCTTTTCTAGGCACTTGCTATGGAAATTGTGAGATCTAGAAAAACTGTGAATCGTCTCTACGAAAATAAAGCTCAATTAAATTCCATATCAATGCATCTAGGAGAAAGCGTTGGTATGTGATTATTACTTTCTTTTATCATCATCACTAATGTTTTTTGAATCGATTAATTTCTAAGCGTTGAGATTTTGCAGCTATTGCTCGAACAGTAGGGCATCTATCAAAAAGCGCTGAAGTCATGAAGATTGTTAACGACCTAATGAAAGCTCCACAAATGGCTGTCACAATGCAAGAATTCAACAAAGAAATGATCAAAGCAGGAGTGATTGAAGAAATGGTGAATGATGCTGTTGATTCTGCATTAGATACAGATGACATGGAAGATGAGATTGAAGAAGAGGTTGATAAGGTGTTAACCTCCATAGCTGGTGAAACTGCTGCACGGCTTCCAGAAGCCGCCAGGAATGAGCGGCTGAAGCAACCAGCCACCGTCGCTCAGGTATACCCCCCACCACCCCATGTTTTAATCTTTGTTCAAGAGATTAACTTTTGATCTAATTTGTAGGATGATGGTGTTGATGATGAGGAACTAGAAGAAATTAGGGCTCGACTTGCCAAAGTTCGTTCGTGATTAGGGATTTTTTTCAACTAAGATGGAAGCTAAAATAAAGACCAAAAAAAAAAAAAAAAAAAAAAAAAAAAAAAGACGAAAATTGCGAAAATCAGCTACACTAGGAGACGAAAAATGTAATTTACTCTTTTGTTTATTGATACTTAGAGTTTGGGTGTAGTAGTAGTAGTATTAGAATTGGAGTTTATGTAAAGATTACGAGATAGTATGTAATTAAGATATTATCAGTTTGCTATTTTTTTTTTTTTTTTTAATTTTGTTATTATTATAATGATCTAGAGTTAAAGCATTTCATGGATTGTTTAGTCAGTATTAAATTTAAATGTTGCAATTATTTCAAAAACGAAAAAAACAGGATATGATATTGTCGTCTGAAAGGTTAAATGCTGATCGATTTAATTGAATGTATATAACTATTTGCGATACGTTAAAATCACTAAGCGGGGATAGCTCAGTTGGGAGAGCGTCAGACTGAAGATCTGAAGGTCAGGTGTTCGATCCACCTTCACCGCATATAACATTTTACGTTTGTTTTTAAACTGACAGAATTTATGTTGAATATTTTACCTTTCGTTTTTATTATAATAAGAAAATCAATAAACATAGGTTTACCAACAAAACATTAGAAAGCTTGAAATATATAACAGGTTTTGTTTCGAATTATGAGCTTTAAATTCTTTTTACTGAAAAAATTCATAATCCAATAACTATTTTAAACTTTTTTTTATGAGTTTTTATATTGTAGTATTTTATTTATTTAACGTTACACGTATTTCCCCACCTAATAAAAGAGTATCAAATTTGTCACGTGTCAATCAATTACAGCTTGAAATTAATTATTTGCCACTTGTCAATCTTTGATTTTTTTTTCTACATTTCCACTAATTGTATCCTCCTTTTTACACAGATAAAACATGTCAGCAAAAAATTGAATTGTAATATCTATTGCCTAATTTATTACAATAACCCTTAATCAATAAATCTAATTTCAAACTATCACGTCACATTTATGCAATCCCTTCAAATATACTAAATCCCTACATAACACCTATTCATTTTTACAATTTAATTTTCAAATTTTCAAATAAAACAATGTAATTTTCAAATCACTGCATAACACTTATTCATTTTTACAATTTAATTTTCAAATTTTCAAATAAAACAATGTAAACAAGTGTATAATATATATATATATATATATATATATATATATATATATATATATATATATATATATATATATATAGGGTAAAATGAATATACCTAACAACCTTATATAAACTTAGGTACCTAACCACATCATACTACATAATTTTGTATCATATTTGCATTGTAACCACCAAAAGTTCTTAAAATTTAACCTCATAACTTGATTGCTTCCAAAATCTTTGGACTTTCACCATTATCTTCCTTCAAATGACGTCTTTTTATCGGAGACCCCTGGTGGGCTTCATATACTGCGTTAGAAATCAAATGGTATAGGAAGAATATAATGGTGAATGACTAAAAATCTTGGAAGTAAATCAAGTTAAGAGTTGAAGTTTAAGAACCTTAGACGATTGCAATGGAAATACAATGCAAAACAATGTAGTATAATGTGGTTAGGTACCTAAGCTTATATAAGGTTGTTAGGTATATTCACTTTTCCCATATATATATATATATATATATATATATATATATATATATATATATATATATATATATATATATATATATATATATATATATATATACTTACCTCATCTGCAGTGAATATATATAAAAAAGTTAAAAATAAATTGTACTAATCTACTAAATTGAGTGACTGAAAATCAGCATGATCAAAATTAAGCATAATATTATCCTTTCGATTTCACATTTTCATTTAAAACAACGATTATAATTTTATATAAATACAAATATATATATATATATATATATATATATATATATATATATATATATATATATATATCTGAATTAATAATTTATTTACAATAATTGATTAGTAATTATAAGTTTTTTTTTATAAATATTATCCCACGGGTTATAACCTGGTATACAAATAAAATTATAACTTTCAATTTTGAAATAACGAGTAGTTTTATTATATACACCTTAAATCGTAGAGGGAAAGTTTGATGGTTTTTATGAAATTAAGTTTTTATTTAATTTGATCAATTTGGGTTATAATGCACTTTGTTTTCGTATTCATATTCTTTTTTGTTATTTTTAAAGAATTCCCCTGTGATAAATTTATCCATAGATTTTTTTAATAGTATTAGTTATTCGGCTCTTTTTGTTATTTCTTTTATTTTTCACTACCATATAAATATATAAATATTTTCTAGGCAACATGTTACCATTTTAAACTTATAAAACAATATCAATGATAAAAAAAAAAGACAAGTAAAGAAAACGAAAACACATAGTTGTGAATTTGTGATATCAAATCGTTTTCTAGCAACAAAGATAAGTATTTCTGAATTGTTTTCTAGGTTCCACCAACTAAAATTTTCAAAACTTGTGATATTAAGGTTTCAAGTTATGTACATAAAATAAGAAGAAAGCACACAAATTATTATTATTATTATTATTATTATTATTATTATTATTAATTTTTACCAAAAAACTAATACCAAAGAAGTAAATAACAATAACGAAATCCTACAATTTACACTGATCAAATTAATATGAATCAAAAAATTGGATTTAACACGAATAATAAATTTGAAATCAGAATCAACGAGACTAGCTAAAATAAATTAACACAAATACAAGGTCAATTTTTAAAGGATGAGTGTAATCAGATTATCAGAATCGACGTATTAAGAAAAATTGAACTCATAAGCTTGCGTGAAAAACCCAGAAGCTTGCGTGAAAAACCCAGAATCGGTTTATTATGAATCAATTTCTAATGTTATATCTCCTAGATTTACAGATGTTGTTTTCAAAAGAATTAGTTTTGCCATCCAGAAAGGGCTAGCAGCAGCAACTTATTGTCCGTGTGCCTTCCATCGATATGTATTGAACTATATATAATTACTTAATGAAAATTAAAAAAAAAATCATAGAGTTATTCGATCGTTTGCCCCATAGTATTATTCTTTAATTTTGTTTTTGCTCATTTTTCTTTCCTTTTTCCTCTTATCCCTTATACATGATATACCAGGGTTTTATTTATAATAACATAATGAGGTATATAAAAATAAGGCCCCAGAAATTTGGAGGCCATGATTGATTGCTCAAATTGCCCCACCAATTGGCACGCCCCTGCAAATCCTTTGGCTCATATGTTTCCACTACAGCCTTCTTATCCCTGTTTGAGGTGAAATTTAAATTGTTCCAGGCTCCATGCATCAGTCTGTTGGTCCAGAGCCTCTACTTCCGTCGTAGTAAGTTTGTACTTTTTATTAATGACTTCTTCCATCGTAGTAAGTTTACACTTTTTTTAATGAATAACATATTTGAGAACAGGTCTCACATGAAGAATGGATTGTCCTTACATGGGCAATTGAGAGTTGCCTCCATGAATCTAGTTAGATAGTCAATGATGGATTCACCTTCTCTTTGGCATCCTAATATGGCATGGTTGTGGATACTGCCAACTGCTAAGCTTTTGAACCAGCATCGAACAAATCCTTTTATTATGGTTTGAAAGTGTATACACTAAAACCTTCAACCGAAATTTAAGGATTACATGTGTACTTGGTAGGTTCCTGTATGAACAATTGGGTCTTTTGTTCATTCATAGTTATTTAGGTGTGGTAGGCAAGTTTTAGTTGGGAGCATGTAGCATATAAGTCGCATGCAACTGGCGATGGATCTTTTGTATCTTGGTCTTGTAGTTTAGAAGGATTGTTTGAGGCTTACTTCTTTGGATTAGTTGTAGAATCCTTAAGCATGACCAATGGTTCTTCCAAAATCTCTCCTTAAAGTTTTAGTAAACAAATAAACTATCTAAAAATGTTTTTTCTTGTGGTTGATAGTAAAGTAGTGTTTCACCAACAATTGCATTCATACTGGGTAAGGTTGATAGTGAAGTGGTGTTTTAAAATTGGTTCATTGTGGGTATGCCTTGAGTTGTTGATGTTGTTTATGAAGGGTTTTGAGCATTCTAACACTCCTAAGGTGTGCATGCAACCCTAAATACCTTTGATCTATGTTTTCTCTATTATACATGCAAACTTGAACTTTCCAAGCTATTACCCTAGCTAGCATACAAAACTTTGATACTTGGGTAATAAAACAAGTTAGATAACATTACTTTTCTTTTAGCTTGTTGCTTGGAGCTTTAAGAGCCTAGAACTAATAGTATAAATGCCTCAAATGGAATCACAACACACCTAGAACAAAGGATAACTTGAGACGAGATTCCTTGCACACACAAATCGGCTAGCCCTCTAGTATTCCACTTAAGTACCAATTTCATGAGCTAGAGGGGTTCTTATATAGTGTAGCTAACTAGGGTTACACCATGTAAACCCTAATGACTTTCCATATCCCTCATGCTCCACGGGTTAAAACCTCCATGAGTATCCATGGGTTACCACATGGGTTTAGCCCAACATGAAGAACTATGGGTCATAAGCCCACTTTATAGGAATGAATGATTTACCAAATTAACCCCTTATATTTAATTAGTCTCTTTTGATCACAAAATTAATTCCAAATTAATTCTTGATCAACACTAATTAAATAATATGATTTCATATTAATATATTAGAACTTATAATATATAATAAACCATAAATAACCTCTTCTCAAAAGTCCATCCTATCAAATTGTCCTGGTGATATGCAACCCAAATGCACCATGCTACTCTCGGTTCAAGTACATACCAATTATAGTTATGGGCTTAAATACTAATCCAACAGCCTCCCACTTGCATAAGTCTAATAACTATTATTGCATGTACTACTCCACAACCCGACTAACAATCGTAGCTCTTAAACCCGTTGTCAAACTTTGACCTAATCAATGACGTGTCCATTAGATAAGGGATAATATATTCCTCCATTCTAGATATCATATGGACCAAGACATGGATTATAATCATTCTCTTTGTCCATCTATTGTTTCCC